AACCACTCAGCTAAATCCCCAGCCCCTGGGGATACTGTTTTTATCTCATGCCTGTCTTACAACATCACAGAACTGCTACCAATTCCTTATGTAAAAATATTTTCTAGACACTAAAATTTTTTGGTTTTTTGGTACTGGGGATCACACTCAGGACCTTGTGCTTGCCAGGCAGGTGCTATTCTTCTAAGCTAAATATCTGGCCCAACACTAAGATTTTACTTTTTTTTTTTTTTTTGGTACCGGAGATCGAACTCGGGTCCTTTCGCTTGTGAGGCAGGCAGCGAAACCACTGAGCTAGATCCCCGGCCCAGCACTAAGATTTTAACAGTAAACCAAACATATGAAATTTTTCTAAATTAATCTGAAAATCTAGCAGGAGAAGCTAAGAATCAGGTAGATCACACAATAAAATTGACATATGTTTAAAAACAATAAAATGGAAAAAGGGGGCTCAGTAGGACAGACAGTGGAAGTTGTTTTTCTGTGTTGGTGCCAATGGAAGGCCTCTAAAATAAATTTTAACTAGAAATGGAAAAAAATGAAGTGGCGAAGGGTTATCTGGAGAAAAGCCTTCCAGGAGAAAGGCCAAGTTCACTAAACGGACAATGAAGAAGAACCATAAGCTGGCATTCTGGTGAATAAGAGAAACAGGAGAGGTCACAAAGGGGCTTGATAAGGCATATTATGTAGACAATTTCAAATTTCAAGGCTGGCTTCTACTCTGAGTAAAATGAGAAACTATCAAATGTCTTGAACCAGAGAAGTGACTTTATTGCTGTGGCTTTTGTGCTAAAAATATATTGAAAGATGGCAAGAACGTAAAGAGGAAAGGCAATGGGCCCTTGTTAGATGCAATCTAAGGGAGAGATGATTGTGTCGAGGAAGGTCTTGAGTGGAACTGGGAAAGAAAAGGAACATGCAATGTCTTTTCTACTGGTATGGTTGACAAAATAAGATTAAACATCTTGAGTTTAGAAGATCTTTGACTTTGGTCTTTCTCTCTTTCCTGTCTGATCTATCAGCAAATCTTGTCAATGAACCTCTAAAATGTACATTGGATGTAGGATATTTCTAAGCACAGAATGTGGGAGATTCACAAACTATCACATAAGTAATAAGGTGAGCTCTAGTAGCCTTCCTCGGGCACATTCTTTTTTTTTTGTTGTTATTGGGTATCAAACTCAGGACCTTGAGCTTGAGAGGCAGGTGGCTTGCTGTGGCACATTCTTGAACTGATTTTCCTGGTTAATCTTCACAACAACTTCATTCCACACATATGGACACACTGTGATTCAAAGGCACTCTCAAACTCTCCTACTAGCACATAGGTACTATGTGTGTCACCAATATCCAAAGCTAATGTATGTTTCAATTCAAAGCTTTTGTGTTGCCACTAAAGATAAAAGACTAAATGGAAGGATTTTTAAGTTAAAGAACAAGATAACAAGCAAATCACATGAAATTTTCTATCTCTTTACAGTACAACATAAGTTTTAAAAACTGAAAATGAGAAAGATATCAGGGATGAAGAGTAGGATTCCACTTGAGAATTGAAAACCATGGAAAATTCTTGGAAAGTGCATTTGGGGGATTTAAATAAAGGATTAACATTTTTTAAAGTAGAAGAAAATCATTGAAGGTCTGTTGACATCAGTTCCTGTGTCATGATCTTCTACACCAGGAACCTAGCTCCCACTTGCAGATCCCACGGAGTGAAGGTCTGATGAGTACAGGAGGTGGGGGAATGCCTTAAGAGGTTGAGGAGGACTTGGAAAAAAAGCATATTTTTATTTTGTATTTCTATGGAGTGAGAATTCACTACCATCCTTCCCTTATTTTCTAGACACTAGGAGTTTTACTTGTGTTTTTAGATACCCAGAGAACCTGATTTTTGTTTTTTGTTGGTGAAACTCTACATGCCATCTCCACTTTTATTTTTTTTACAGTATTTTATTTTGTTCTGACAATTACATGTGCTTTCTGAGGAAGAGTTGTCTTACCATCTCTACCAGACAGATCCCACAATAGTTTTTTTGCATGCTCTGAATACTTTGAGACCTGGGTAAGTATTGCTCTGTCTCCAGAACCTTCCGGCTTCCTAATAGATTTCAGTATCAATATAGATGTTCCTTGCAATCAGTTTGAGTCATTGCTTAAATAGATATTTTTAAGAGAAATTTTAAGTTGGTAGAAAAATTGGGCAGAAAGTACAAAGTTTCTTCTGTTACTAACATGTTGCATCAATGTGGCACATTCATGAACCAATATCAATACATTGTTATTAACTAAATTCTATAGTTTACATTAGAGTTTCTTCTTTCTGTGAGTTTCAGCAGCTTAATGATATTATCCATTACAGTATCATAAAGAATAGTTTTATCACCTTTAAAGTCCGTGGGATGTACCTATTTATTCCTCCCTTTTTGGCTATTTTAAACGCTAATTTTTTATATGCTCTAATAGTCTGCCATTACCCTCAGTATCAAACTTTAGACATTCTATATTTCAATCTCTAGATGTATCTCTCTAACCTACTAGCTCATTTATATTTTCATCTATATTTTACATGTTTTTCAACTTCATCTTGAGAGTCTGATTAATTTCTTCCAAAATGTAGCTAGGTCTGTCCCTGATCATGGCCAGACTTCTTTGATCATTTTAGCTTGCCTTTCATCTCACTTAGTTTTCTTGCCAACTTCATCCACATATCTTGTTTTAACTTTCTCTTCTCTTGCACTTGGGCTTTCCTTCTCTACTCTGGAAAGTCACAGTGCTGTGCAGGGTCTGCAATAAAAGGGGTCGGCCTTATGTAAACCTCAGCTCAGTCCTCTCCACCTCTGAGCTATACCTTTTATCTATTCTGATTTAGTAGCTATTCTCAATTCCCAAAATATCTATTTAATCTTTCACCATTTTCCTGTATACTCTTACAGAGTATCTTTTCCCATCATTGTCAATATACTCCACCTCTCATTTTTATCAAGAAATCTGAAGCAATGAGACATGATCTTTCTCAACCTCCCAAACTCTTGCCTAGAGATTTAAAAGATAGGTTCTCATCACATTTTTTCTGTATCAAGGCAACGGTTTTATTTCCTTAAAATCAATTCTCAATCTAATTTTTTTCTTCTTCCTTATCTACTCTGAAATCTTTATCCTTCACATATCAATATCCTATTCTTATATTAAATTCTCTTTCTTTTTCTTCCTCAGCTTATAATTATACTCAAGTCTCTGTTGTGGGAAAAAAATTTCCACCAAATTCTATTAAAATTTTTACTATTCTATTATCTCTCTCTCTCTCTCCCTCCCCATTCAAATTTTCTGAAAGAGTGTAGTATGTGCATGTTACTTTCACCTTTTCATTTCCATATTTTTTCCTAATCTTTCACAGACAGTTTGGCTTCTTTCACTACTCTATCAAACAATTATGGCTTAGATCATCAACAACTTCCCAGAAAAATCAGAGAACAGAGGATATGTAGCCTTTGAAAGCAGCCAGTACACCTGGTAAATCTGATTTTCTGTGGCTTATTAATTTAGGACCCACCTCAATTCAGGTGACACCGGGTAGCTTAGAGTTTCAGCAGAAAGTCAAACTGTTATTAGCTAGCATAGCAGACAAGGAGTTTGAGGGAGCTTGGATTGGCCAGATGAACCCCCAAATCTGTGTAAATACTTCCCTCAAATGCCTGACTGACCCTGAACATTCATAAGAAAGACCCTAAGAAAATCAGTAGAAAACAAAAGGTGGAAGGTTGAGAGTGCCCAACAAAAGATTGCAATTGTTGTCTGTAACAGAGTGGTAGAGACTGAATTTTGAGCAGCTCATAGTCCTAAAAAACTGTCAACTCAGAATTTGTTAATTGGTAAGAATATTATTTAAAAAGCAAGGGTCAGTAAAGACATTGTGAATCAACAAAATCAAGAGTATATGCCACCTAGAGGACTGTACTTCATGACATTCCAAAGAAAGTGTTTTGGCTTCAATGATGCCACACAGAAGGTCAGATATTTGAAGGGAATAAAGAACCCAGAAGTAGTATGTATGTTGTTCAACACAAGAAACTGTCTTTTTTTCTTTGTATACATTTGAACAATAACTAATTGGTTAAATTAATAATTATATTTTGTCATGGAGTTAAAAAAATATAAATTTGTAACCAGTAGCAGAAATAATAAGGTAGGCATAAATAAGATCGTTTATATTGCTGCAAGCTTATGAATTTTTTAACATGAAATGGTACAATATTAGTCTCAGATGGAATGTGAACGCATAAGAATATGTGTTATGATCTCTCAACCATAATCAAACAAAAACATAGATAAACAGCTAAAGAAGCAACAGTGCAGATAAAATAAAATATTAAAATAATTTTGATTTACCATGAAAAAAGGCAGGAGAAAAGAGAACAGAGGAAATATAAATCAAACAGTAAATTATAAACCAAAATCCAATTATTCAACACATAAAGACATAATAATTATAAAAATATATATATAATGATAGCTTCAAAATATTATAGCAAACACTGAGAAAAACTAAAAAAAAAATAGAATTTTTAAACGTATATTGAGAATTCAAAGAACAAGGAGAAAAATATAATTATAGATGCACCTTGCTTAGATTCCAAAATTAAGTAATTAGATCATAAGGAATTAAAATTTTTCCTTTTATTTCCAATAACAGCGTTTAGAATAAAATTATGGTATGAATCATGACTTCATCATGAGCCATATAATGACAAAATATTTAGAACATGAGCTTGGCCATGTCAACCCTTCTTCTAAGTGTTATTCCATTCAGAGAATTTTTTTCTCATTTAGTTTTCTGTTGTCACCCAATTTTCTTTCTACGAAATTGATACAATGATATTAGGCAAGAGTTCTGCATTTAACACTACAAGCTAATGCACTACATCACACTTATTTTACATGAAATTATTTTCCAGGAGTTACAACTGAACCTTCAGGTATGAGATAAATAAATGAATTCTTACCTTAAAGACTAGTTCTCCAACCAAGCCATTCCATGTCCCATCTTCTTGTGGGCTTCCATACTTGTGATCTGGTGCAACATAAATTTCATAGTTGAAACCCAAGTAGTTGGATAAGGCATCCAAAACATCAATGGAGAAGCCCTGGTATTTCTTCGGCTTTCCCAAGACATTTTCTGAGACCATGACGAAAGGCTCTTCCTACATGGATATAAGAAACGTTCGACTTCAATCTACATTGTTTCCTACAAGCAGAGATTAATTCTTTAAAGAGTTTTGCTTACAAAGTCTAAACACTTTTAAAATTTGGAAGGATATAGTCAGGAATACCATTTATGCATTATTAATGCATTGTATCACTCTGAACAATGTTGAAAGTGGCTAAAATAATTTGGAGGCCACAAGTTCATGTTTCCTGGCATCTCAAAATGAATCTAAAATTCATAGCAATAAAGTGGATTTTGGAAATTATGGTTCTATAATACCTACTTTAGATATTTTTGTGTATATTTTTACATATATAGATAAAATATTTAACAGATAAACTGTATATGCAACTCTGAAAAGAGAAAATATTCTAAGAATATATAATTTTGCTAAAATGTATAACATATACTAAAAGTTATTTGCTAATTAATTTTATAAATTTGACATAAGCATAGATTTCATTGCAAAAACAGCTTCTTCGATACTTTAAGAAAATTATTCATCTTCTTGGTAGACTAATTTGATAAATTTGGTAAATTGATATCTGCTATCACCTCTTTCATCTGCTTAAATTTTGATTTTTAAAACTAATATATTGTCCCTTTTCACCTTGGAACAATCAGTATTGGGAGAGCTCAGTTGGTGTGAAACATGCTGACAGATTACAGAAAATGAGATAATCGATTCCTTAATTTCCTCATCTTGCTCAGAATTCTTTCAGCAAGAGTAGTGTTTACAGATAACTATTCATGATATATGTAGTTCATGCAGTCTGCTGGGCAAGCTAAGATCTCTCTTGGTCTAAGTCAGAATATTGAGAAATTTTCCCATTAAATCATTTTTTCCTTTGGGATGTCCAAAATAGCCTTCATTCAGATGTAAAATAATACTACTTTTTTTTGGCTTTTACTCAAGACACTAAATAAGTGCCTTATAAATTCAGTGTACCTGTTATATATATATTATACACCATAACACTCAGCTTTTCCCCTAAAAATTGCCATGAATAAATACTGAATTACTCAGGATCAAAGAAACAAAGATTTCATTTTGCTGTAGTAATGCCTTTTGTAAAAATAATTTAGCTAACTATTGAGCTATTCCTTTTTACTTGTATACCCAGGAAATCAGTGTCATCTGTGCCCCAGTAACTGTCTGAGACCACACTTTTTAGAGAACCAAGATACAAGTTGATATGCCTGACACTTGATATGCTGTACTAGACTAAGACTGTCTCTCAACAATTCTAGAATGCAGAAAAAGAGAGTCTAATTTGTTTTATTAAGCTACTCATTTTTTCTGGTATAATAGTATTTGATGATAATGAATATTGATAAATTATTAGATTAATAGATAAGTTTTGAGAGTGAATAAAATTTTTACTCATACTGACTTGTTTAATCTACATGTTATAATACATGAATTACAAGTAAAAATTTAGTCCATCCTAAAAATAATTCAGTCAATCTTTTAATATTTTATGTAAAAATACATTTCAATGACTCTACTTTATTTACATATTTTAAATTTTACAATAAAACCTCCAGGTAATTGGCAGAATTTGCTAGTTTTCATTTAGTTGTTTGGACAAAATATAGACTTAGCCAATGGCTATGCCTTGTGCCAATACATGGAAGTAGATCCTGAACTCACTAGAATCAGATGGATTAAAGAACTTCCAAAGCAAAGATCAACTTCAAGGAGCCTGCAAATATGTTCAAGAAGTTCTATAATTAATGTTATAAATGCTAGTTACAGAAATCAGGCATTTACCAATTTCTAGATTATTACCTTTCATCAACCTATATTGACATATCAACTGGGAAAGTGCTCATGAAAGATCATTTTTGACTGCTTCTTCTACCAATAATTTTGGGTCATAAAATTTCTCTATTTTCATCGATCCTAAAAACTAACGAATCTTCGAAGTTTGGCAGTAATGTAATCACCAGAAAATTCAACAAACTCTTTGGGGTAAATGATACTTTAAAAAGTAAGAAGTTAACTTCATTGCATAGCTAAGTGATACATATGGAAAAATAACATCCCAGTGTATACTTTTATATAAAATATTAGTGTTTCCTTTTCATTTTTATTCATATATCTTTAGAGCAGTTGTTTGATATATTAAATTAATATATGCTAAATTTTTTCCTAGGAATGATTTTCTTTGTTTATAAGTAAATCTCTGGATAAATAAATCCCTTACACAGGGCTGCTGTCAAAATCCTTACCTCGCAATGTCAACTAGAGTTGATTAAAAGTACAGAATAGAAATGGTTATACTAAGGGTCTTCATAAAGAAAGTTGATGAATTATTGATGAACATTCCTTTTAAATTTTATGCCCTAAATAAACTTTTATTATATTATATCACTCCTCGTCTGGATCAATCTTTTGAAAGCCTTATTTTTAAGCTGTATTACAGCATTGGATCACTATTCATAAATTCTAAGTCAGGCAAATTGTTCTCTATGAGCACAACCAGCCAATATCTTAGACAGGTAAACAGCAACAGAAATTAGGCTGAACCCCTGGGAACTATAATAGAGGAAAAATACTTGTTTTTTCTCTGTGGCAATGCTTAACTTGGTTTAATCACTTTTATATATGTACTTATTTCCAAAATTTATTCACTCATTGACTTATCCATTTAACATCTGTTGAGCAGTTACTGCATCCAGATAATGCACTCTATATAGGGAGAGATAAAATAAAAAGTCATCAGTACCTCTTTTTAAAAAATTATAACCAGTAGGGGGAAATGAGTATTAAAGGTATTAAAAAATATAAAACAAAACAAAAGCAACACATACCATAATTGGTATCAAAGGAAGACATATATATATATATACACACACACACACACATATATATACTTTTTTTGTGTGTGGTAATGGGGATTGAACTCAGGACTTTGAGCTTGAAAGGCAGGAGCAGTGCCACTGAGCTAAATCCCCTGCCCTTATATTTCTTTAATACATGGAAAGAGGAACAAAGTGTTGCAGCTCAAAGTCACAAAATAACTTACAAAAAAGGAAGTCTTCAAAACCCGTCTTACTTCAACTTCACCTTCCTAAATTTTAATTGTTTCAGTCTTTTGGATTAAAAGCAAAGACTGCATAATTTATTTCAAATTTTAACAAAATTAAGAATTTACTAGACCGGTAGAGACTCAAGATACCTGACAGGAAAAACATACTAAAACAAAAACAAAATCTCCTTTTATGGAACACATCTTAATTTTAGGACTCACATTCTTCCTTCAAATAACTTTTGAATAGAATTTACTAAATAAAAATCAAGGACATCAGGTGTAAGGAAATAATACTTTAGAAATTAGAACAAATCAACATAACAGATGAGACAAATAGATCCTTCAAGTTCAGATATTAGAATTTTCAGATGCATGTTATATTTATTGTATTTAAAGAAATACAGGACAAATCTTTTCTTTCTTTTCTTTCTCTTCCTTTCTTTCTTTTCTTTCTTTCTTTCTTTCTTTCTTTCTTTCTTTCTTTCTTTCTTTCTTTCTTTCTTTCTTTCTTTCTTTCTTTCTTGAGACAGTATTTCACTATGTAGTCCAGGCTGGCAGTGAACTCAGAGATCATCCTGGCTCAACCTCCTGAGTGCTGGGATTACAGGCATGAGCCACTAAGCCTGGCTCAGGGCAATTGTCTAGTAATTGGTACAAAACTGGAAAGTATGAAAAGTGCCATCATTGAGTTGAAAAAGAACCAAATAGAAATTTGAAAATTAGAAAAGACAATGCCCAAAGTTAAGAACTTAATGATTGAGTTTATTAGTAGGTAAAGAAAGAATTGGCAAATTCTAATAGTTTGAAATAAATTTCTACACTGAAACAAGAATAAACAAAAGGATAGAAAATTCCAGAGCAAGAATAAGAGAAATGGTCCAATCATCTCAAGTACTGTCAAGCATATGAAACAGCAGGATCTATCATTCACTCGCACTGGATGTGTCAATTGGTGTAATCATTTTGAAAACATTTTGACATATAAGGTAGAGTGTAAAAATGCTTATATACAAATTAAGACTGCTTGTTTCTGAGCGATAGATAAATATTTATCTAGTATGCAGACTTGCATAGCTGTGTTTTAGCATTCCATTCTTGGGTATAAACAGTAGAAAGCATTCCCCAAAATACATATCTGAAAACGTTGATAGCAGCACGATTTATAATAGCCCAAATCTGGGAAAAGTATGAAAATCTGAATGTCTGTCAAGATGGAAAAGATAAATGCATTTGGTATAATGATATGGTAGAATATCAAATAGTTCAAAACTGAAGAACCTGGAGCTATACATGAGTATGAACAAAATTTTAAAAGAATGACTCGAGCACAAACACCATCCTAAGACAACAATTTAATTTAATTTATGCAATATTCAAAACTAGCAAACTTATGATATTGAAGAATTCAGACCTTCTTCTGGGCACTGTGGTGCATATCTATGTTCCCAGCACTTGGGAGCCTGAGGAAAGGGAATTGCCCCAAGTTCAAGGCCATCCCAGGCTATATAATAAGTTCAAAGCCAGCCTCAACCACATAACAAGACCCTGTCCCCAAAAAACAAAAGAAAACAACAACAACAACAGAAAGAACTCATACCTTTATAGAGGATACATTATAAAGAAAATTAAGGAAGTGATTACTTCTGAGTGGTTAGCGCCAGGACACAGGCAGGGTAGGAGCAGAATGACAGACAAGGTTTTACTTTTGATTCTAGGGAGTTACTCATCAATTAATGGTTTACACTTTTGGGTATGTGTGTCATATTGAAACAAAAAACAAAAACAAACAATTTGTTACCTGGGACCGTGTTGAAGCCATGTTAAAGTATATGTTTTTTATTTGGAAGAGATAGAGCTTTTGGGTAGAATAGGATAATAAGAAATTAATTTTGAAAAAGTAGAGGATAGAATACATTGTAGCAGGAGGGAAGATTCCTATACAACACCCCAAGTAATA